GACGCACCTACGGCATGAATTTCATAATCCTGCAAGTTATTCACAAACTGTCCATGCCGCCCAGCAGGGTGACAACAATATCCCATCGGCCTTTTACGGCGGAGGAGTGAAATGATATTCCAGCCAGCTATGTTAATGCATGTGTTATTACTTTCTGAGTTTTAATGGCACAAATGTGACATCCAGTAATAGCTCATCAAAATACCCTAAATGAGCTTCAAAAACTGTCATGGACTAAAAAGGCTGAACTACTGAAGTAATCCTGTAACAATCTGCCGTTCGCAGCTAATTCTAAAACACGATGAACCTCTGATTCCTTCATATTCAGTCTTTTGACCACTCGCTCACTGTCACCCGTGAGCAGCAGCCAACATTGATGCTTTGTGTGCCACCTCGTCTGTGGCGCTCTTCTGAGATTCTGTTACATCTGACTGATGAAATGAAGAACAACAAAAGTCCCCCGCCCCAAGCAGAGGCTTGGTCTTTTTATAAACTTGGTCTTAAAAATCCTGTCTTGGTTGGAGGCGTTTTTCAATAGAGTCAATCTAACATGTTGTCTTTTGATTGTCAGAGTATCCAGAGGAAACGCACACAGGGAGAACATGTGAATTCTGCACTTAAAAGCTTTTGGCTTTGAACCTTGGGTCTGACTCTATTCATATAACACACATTAATCTGACTGACAGAGCATGTGAACAATTTTAGCTTAGAAAATTAAGCTCCCCTGGATACAGGACGGGCTGCGACTGCCCATCTATTCACATTTTCCTACCAAAAACTTCAACCTGTTCCAAGGGTTTTCCAGTATCAGCTCGTTGCATCTTAGTACTACTGCAGTCATCAGCAATATGATGGCAACGTTATGTCAGCGACAATCCCCAAAACAAGCAAAACAGATCTGCTGGAATAATCTCAGTCCAGGCCAGAAATGCTGCACGCAGACTAAAACTACACATCAACACGAATGCATATTAATTAAGATGATCTGTGCAGGTATATCAGAGCATCTGTTCCCTTCATCAAGAAAGAAAATACTCTGAGCTCACGCGATCATTCACGTGCAACTTTTTGTAAAGCAACACCTCCTCTCACGTAGACCTCCGGATGACTGACTGATTTCACCGCATGAGCCTTCCAAAGAGGGACGTCCAGTCCTGCTGGCATGAAGTGCAGCAGATGTTGCAGGCTTCATGCTGCCAGTCTGCACCGCACTGCGCCCCGCATCCACCCAATACACAACACCAGCGCCGCCGCGCAGACTGCAAGCTGCTCAGCTCCTTTTTATGAACAATGACAGCAGCACCACACACCGTTCTCCACCTCTCATCTGCTTGTCCTGTCTTTCTGTTAGTGCGTTTTCACGCCTCCTCCACCCCCTGATCTCCTGTCAGCATGATGCGGACTCCCTGACCACTGACTTCAATGTGGAGGAGCTGTCATCCCTTAATGCGGTAAACTCCCAGCCCACATCACCGCACGCACGCACGCACACTCACAGAGCCGAGCAGAAAGACGCAGTGAACTCTCACTGCAGCGCCGGTATTTTGCTCCAGAAGCAGCAGAGAGACACTTACAGTGCGCAAGAACTGGATTTCATCCTCGCCTTCTCCTCCTTCAGCCATGGTTAGTGTTCACACGGTGATGCTCGTACAGCGTCTGTGTGCCGAGGCTGGCTGTGCTTGTGTG